ATGCACAATGATCCTTGATTTTGAAAATGTTCATATATGTGCATCTCTTGCAGTCTATGTTCATATATGTTCACCATATGAACAACTTGTTTTCATTGAAAGACACAATCGTTGTTCACACGAACCCGTGACGATGTCATATGGTATGACATTGAAAAACATCACACCATATGAACATAGTATTTACATTGTAAGACACAGATGCTGTTCACACGAACATATGGCCGACATGTGAACATATATGAACATATGAACATAGTGTTTACATTGCAAGACACATATGCTGTTCACACGAACATAGGGCCGACATGTGAACATATATGAACGTAGTGTTTACATTGGGCCGACATGTGAACATGAGTTGTGAATATGTTCATAATCGATCGTAGATTACAAATCGGCTGGAGAATATCGGGTTCACGATGCGTGAGGATTTATTACCAAAATACCCTGTGAACAATTGTTCATAAGCAGCCCAATTAATTTAATGATTAATTGACTATTTTTTAATACTCATTTAATAATGACCGTTTGATCAATTTACCCTTTGAACAATTGTTCATACACATATCAATTAATACATTAATTAAATTATTGTTTATTTAATCWCATTTAATAATAACCGTTTGATGATAAAATGAACGATCAAGATCGGTTCACATAGTTTGTACCATATGGTTGGTTTCTATTTGAACCAGCCCCTATATAGATATATATATATATATAATAATCAATATTAACTTAATGTCAATAATAATTAGTAATGAGGTATGCTTAGATGCACCTGGTCAATTCAGCGCAATTCATGAGTGCGTATGAGATTAAAAGTGGTTCAAGGGCTGTTTGTTTACCTCTTAATGATACCATTAAGAGGTAAGGGTCTGATTCGGTCAGACACTTTCTTGTTTGGATAGGTTTTAAAAAATGTCTGAATGAAAACTTTAGATCTGAATCTCTCCTTCACCCGCTAGCTCTCCATACGATTCAGATGTATATTTTTCCAAGTTTGCCCTCCCTTTTCTCTAATCGTCGTTCTCTTCTTCTTCATCACCAGTCTCGAACTCTCGATTTCTCCAAGCGACGCTTCTTCTCGGTCGGCTGTAAGAATCGCCAGCAACCCTGGTCGTCGTTCACCATTCTCCTCTTCTTCATCAGTCACAGATACGACCTCTCAATTTCATAACTTTAGCTCCCTACATTGTTGCTTATGGGTCTGTATCATAAACCCTTCTTATCGGTCTCAACCCTTCTTTTGAATCATAAACCCTAGACAACACCAAAGATAAGAAAAATAGAATCTGAGCAATTTGCTATTTTCCCCTTTTGTATCACTATAATATTTTTCTTATTTGATATCACAATGGTCAGTTTTGCTATGCTAGTAGTTGATTAGTTGGAGGTTGGGATTCCATAATTCTAAGGGTTTATTATTGGTTTGGCTTCTAAGGGAAACAGACCTCTTGAGGAAGCTCATGTTTCAGTAGAAAAAGTGTTCTTGACAACCCACCAACAGACCCATATAGGAGGAAAGCACTTCCTAAAGCCATACCATCAGTGAAATTATGCTGCAGTTCATCATAGATTCATTAAATTTTGGTTAAGTTGTGTATTTAAACAAGAAAAGCGACATAAATTCACTATAGGAACAATTTATTTGTAAATATTAACAAAACTCTTTATTTACATGCCAATTGCATCTGTTAATGCATAATAACAATGGCGAAGACTGTTAAGATGTCACCATGCAATTGAAACAGCTATTTGGATGTCATGGTTATCGAGAGAGCAAGAACAATGGTGAAGGTGTGATCTAGAATGATTAAGCTCAAGTAAAAAACGATCACACAAATTGAAGATGGGAATGGATTTCTGATGATAGATGTGTGATCTAAGGGGCCGTTTACCAAACGCTTACTCGGATAAGCATTTACCAAATCATATATTCCTTATCGGATGAATATGGGAAGGACCAAAAAATTTACCCGATAAGAACGAGACAAGGACCATAAGTCTTACCCGGTAAGTGAGGGCGACGACTGTTACCATGGTAAGCTCTTACCGGGTAAATTGTTACACACGGTGTCCTTTTGGTGGACTAAAATTTTACCCGGTAAGTAAACAATAGTGTTAAATTTTACCGGTAAGCACTTACTTGGTAAGTGTTTGGTAAACGGCCTCTAAGTTTCTTTCTAGCAATAAATCATCGATGTGTGATTTATGTTTCTATATTTAAAAACTCAGCTTCTCCTAAAGAACCTTCATTGTCTCTCCATTTTTGCAATGTCCCACAAAATAGTTTATATACATTAAAGAAAGATATAATGAGCATTTTAAGAATGTTTATGTTTGAGCTTGTTTTACTTGGTGATATTTTCATTGTGACATTACAACAAAATATTATTATCATGATTATTATCGAGATTCCTGAACATTGAAGCATGCACATCTTACGTTTTCAACTGTCTACGTTATGCTCCATACACATATCTTCTAATTATCAGGATACTTAATTTTTTACCATCTACAAGCTCGTTATAGGAGAAGAGGAAGAGGTGAATGTTATCAAAACGTCTTAACGATTTGTGATTTTAATATGGTATTCACTTATGTTTGGGCTGGAAGGGAAGGCATAGCACATGATGCTAGAGTTTTAAGAGAGGTTGCATTGAACCCAACTTCTGGTTTTCCATTTCCTACACCAGGTATTTAGAATTTTTACTTAATATTGAATATAATTTATTTCTTATACATTGTACTTAACAATAAATTTTTCTTACATGTTAAATGTAGAAAAATATTATCTTTGTGATGCTGCATATGCCAACACGCGTGGATTTTTGACTCCATATCGCAATACAAGATATTGGCTAGCTGATTTTTGACATCGACGTGCCTTGACCAAAGAAGAAAGATTCAATCATGCCCACGCTCAACTCAGAAATGTTATCGAACGTGCTTTTGGTGTATTGAAAGCAAGATTCCCAATTTTGAAACAAATGACCCTTTATCCTTTTCGCATACAAAGAAACATTGTAATTGCTTGTTTCGCGATACACAACTTTATAAGAAAATGCAACATGCAAGATCAATTATTCATGGATTACGACAATAATCTCATGGGTATTACTGAAGCACAAGAACAAATTGATGGAGGCGAAGAAGAAGAGATAAATGCAACACCTTGGGGTCCCCAAGACAGTGAGTACATGACTAATTTGCGTAATGAGATTGCAAATCAACTAGTGTTAAATGCTTCAAATTAGATGTTGTAATCAAAATATTGGGTTTGAAGTTGTGTTTCATGTGATGTTTTGTTATGCCAAAACTTGAACAAACATTGTCATGCTTGTTTGAATTGATATAATATTATGTATTGGCTTGGACCATTAATTATTTTCTATTCTTCATTTAGAAATTTCCTTCAGAACTGTTGTCAAACGTTAATTTTCATTAAACACAAGACTGGGGGTAAAATGGTAATTTTATGTCATTCAGACTGTTCATTCAGAACAGTTTCCAAACAACCTTTTTCAATCTGACACTAAATCATACAGAGTCTCTTAATCATCCTGACCACTTAATCATTCTGCACTAAACCATTCAGCAACTGCCAAACATCCTCTCACTCTCATCATAACTTTCTTCTCATATGATACTTCGCCTATGTATATGTATAAATGTGTGTATTTTGAACCGCAAACTTATTACAAGACACACAAAATAGAAGAAGAAAACATAAAGCTTTATGCATGATATAGAAAGACAACCACAAAAATTACAATGCCAAAAAAAGCCGAATGGACTACGATTGGAAGACCAAAACTAAAGAACAAGAAGAAAATCACGAGCTCCTAAAAAGCAATGGCAAACTTAGTTAGAAAGGAATAGCAGGAAGGAACCCCATTAAAAAAATTACAAGGGTTAGAAGGATTTTTTTTTTCTAAGTATTCACTTAGATTTGTCCAGTAATATTTTCCAAAACAGTCTATTAAAATCAACCATAAAATCAAAAAGGTATATTGAAATCAATCAAAAAACCCAAAAAAGTCTTTCAAAATCGACAAAAACATTAAAAAAAATCTCTCAAAATCAACTAAAAAACTTTAAAAATCCCTAAAAATAGTGTAATTAGGATAAAAATACGTTGGACGACTTTACAACTCTTTAGTCTATCTTAAAGATGACCCCACTAAACAAAAAATTTAGATTCATCAAAACCTAAAGGTGAACAGCAGGACAATTTGAAAATATACCACCCAAAAAGCTAAATACAACTAGGGTCAAGGAGAAAAAGAATTAGTTTGTATAATCAAGTATTAAAACAACAATTTACATGAATTAACAACAAACAAACAACATTACAAAACTACTCTATCTTTATTCTACTGATCATCCATATCCATATCCCCCTTAATTAATTACTCAGAATTTATTTTCTTTTTCTTGCAAATAATAATTAAATCGTAAAGTAAACAACAATATACTATACTATATGAACTTACAAAGTTACCCCTCAAGGCTCCGACCTATCTCATGCTTCCTTCAAGTTTTCACCAACCAACACACAACCCGACCCGTTCTGCATCCACGTCTCTTTTGCTCCCATCCACTTTCACTCTCTTTCTTTTTCCCATTCAAAAATCTCTCTCCTCTATGCTTCTGTCACTCTAACGGCGCCCATTGATAATGAGTTCTTGTTGGATACAATCTCATACTCACCGCCTTCATCTTCTTCCTCTTCATCCTCATCATCATAATCATCTTCGTTATTCTGATGATCTACGTTTTCATGACTCTGGTGAATCGTAGATTGCTGCTGCTGCTGCTGCACCACCGCCGGAAGTGGCCACTGTTGCTCTGGTTCTGCCATAATTGCTTCCATCTGGGTGCTTTCTGGGAATCTGGTGGGATTATTATGGCTGCTGTTGTTGGCTTTCTCCCTGTAAATGGCGTCAAGCTGGTGGAAATATGGGCATGTTTTTGAGTCTTCTGCTCTTCTTTTGCTGCTCTCTTTCACCTTCTTGTAGTACTTGTTGATGTTCTCCCATTTCTCTTTGCACCTTTTCGCATTCCTGTTGTATCCCAGCCTCAACATGCCGGCGGATATCTCTTCCCACAACGGCCCTTTTGGCCCACTATCTTGATATTTCATATCAAGTGTTGTCCGGAGATTGATCAGTGCATACACTTCTGCTTTTGGCCATCTTGATGGGCTTGGTGATAGCATATTCGGCTTAACTTCACCACTATTATCAACATTTTTCACCACTGGTAATGCTGGCACCTGAAATTGATGTTGTTGTGGTGGCGGTGCTGGTGCTGGTGGCGGTTGTAGATTCTGCTGCTTTTGTTGCTGCTGGATTGGTTGTGGAGGTGGTGGTTGGTTCTGCGGTTGCTGCTGTAAGATTTGAGGGACGGCGGCATTGGGGTTTTGTTCCGTAATCTTCTGCAAGAACGTGATAACGGCAGCGTCTTTAGCGGCGGCGATGGATCTCTCCTGCACCAACATATCATGCTCCCGGTTCATCTTGGCCATCTCTTCCATTCTCCAAGCCTCCTCTCTCGCCATCCGCTCTCGTTCTCGTTTCTCGATCTGATCAAGAAATTTCATCTGTAGTTCCTCTTGTTTATGTATCACTTCCTTCATCAACCTCCCAACGAAATCCTTCCACTTCCTCTTCCTCTTCTTCCTCACCACGGGGGGTTCGTTGTCAGATGAATTAGCCGAAGAAGTCGAATTCGTAGAAGCCGAGATATTTGGATGAGAAAAAGGAAAGCCACCGACATGAGGCATAACCACCGCGGGTGCTGCAACGGAGATAGGACTGACGTTGTTTTGATGAGATCCGAACGGAATAGCAACAGATGGAACAGTGACTGGCGGATGTGTTGAGAATGGAAGTTGAGTGGTGGTAATGTTACTGGTAGCCATTGCAGGCGGTGGTGGAGTAGGGTGGGTAGGACCTCCCAGATTGGCTTCGAGAGCCTCTAATTGATCGAAGAATCGATAGGTTTTGCCGTCAGCTTTGGAGGTGCGGCCTTCTTTGATTCTCTTGTAATATTTGTAGACGTTCTCGAATTTCTCCTTGCACTTCTTGCCACTTCGATGATACCCGAGCTCGCCAAGTTTTCTGATAATTAAACCATAATATTAATTTGTATATACAAAAGAAATTGAAGAAAACAAAAACTGAACCTCGAATCCTCAACTTATCAATCAAACAAACACAAGTTTAATTTGTTGTGGTTATCATTTTCACAAAAATAGACCTTGAGAATTAACGTTACTGAGTAAAACAATGAACATAAAACAAAATTTTGGTGAACTGATTAAATTCTGCCGGAGTGCATTGGAAAAGAGAGAGTTTCGTGTTTGGATCTGGTCCTCGACTCAACTTTGAACAAGTAAAAAGGGAAGACGAAGACAAGATTCAGACGGAATTCGAATTGGATTCACGTTTTTCGTGAAGCATTTCTTCCCAAATTTCTTGCACGAAATGCTGGAAAAGGAATTGAATTCAAACAAGTGGAGTAATATTTGAAAAATATCTACAGATCTGGTTTTACAGTCGAGAATTTGAAGAAGAAACGCCAGATTCAACTTCAATTCATAAAGTAAAAGTAGATGGAGGAATTGATCAATTATTTACCTTGAGACTTCATCCCATAATGGACCTTTGGCAGTCGCATCACGAAAAGCAAATTCCATATCTGACCGGATTTTTAAGAGAGCCAGTGTTTCCTGGCGCGGCCATCCGTTTCCACCGGAACTCCGCTCACCTTCAAATCTTCCTCTTTCTTCTTCACTGAATTCAACGGCAACACTTGCTTGTGGTTGAGGTGGAGGCTGTGATGAAGCGGCGGCATCGGCGGTGTTAGCAACTGGTCCCGGCAGCATCAGCTTTGAAGAGGAAGAAGAAGAAGAGCAGTGTATTGAAAGGAAGGCAATTACCGGAAGGATAATAAAAAAGAAAAAGAAAAAGAAAAAGAAAAGAAAATGAAAATAGTGAATTGGTGTAAGAATGGATGTGTGGTGAGTTTTATTGAAATCTATTTGGAAGGGATGCCTTGGCCTTAATCTCTAATAAATATAATATTAATATAATATAATATAATTAATTACTTGTGTTTCTGGAATAACATTAAATTTGTAAAAAAAAGAAATAAATTAAAATTTAAAAAAGGAAAAACTTTATTTTTTCTTTTCCTTTTTCTTTTTCTTTTTCTTTTTCCTTTTCCTTTTTTTCTTTTAGGTGCGGGAATCTTTTGGTATTATTATCATTTTATTTCCCTTGGTAAATGCAATCGCCATCCTCCTCATCCTCTTTCTTTCCACCAATAATTTAATATTTTAAATACCACATTATATTTTGTTAAATATAAGATTTGACCATAATTAAAGTACCGTTTACTTAAAAACTTACCCGATAAACATTTATCGGTAAAATTCAACATTATCGTTTATTTATCAAGTAAAATTTCATTACCAAAACGTATCGTATGCAACAATTTATCCCGGTAAGTGCTAACCATGGTAAGAATCATCACTCTCACTTACCGGATAAAATTCTCAATTCTTGCATCGTTCTTACCGGGTAAAACTCTCGATTCTTGTCATATTCATCCAGTAAAGTAATGTGACTTGTTAACGCTTACCCGTATAAGCATTTGATAAACGACACCTAAATTAGATTTATGTGGTTCCTTATTTTTATAAACCAAATATGTTGTGTTTCAAAAAATTAATGTATACGATATATTTTTTATAACTTTTTAATTCGTGAGATCCACTTTAAACTATAAAAATCAGATAAAATCTAAAACCTGATTTAATTTAAAATACTATCTCTTTCCTATCAAACACATATACGCATACACAATTAAATATGCATATAAGGTAAACATATCATATTTTTACACGAATTCAAACATAAAGCTTTAATAAGTTATACTTATGTACAATTTACTTGTAATCTTGAATTTTAAGTAATATGCATTAATAAATAATACTTTATACATAAAAAATGGTTTTTAAAAGTTTTTATCAAATACTTTATAATACTAGTTGTGTACCCGCGCAATGCGGCGGGAGCCATGAATTTTAACAATTTTGAAGTTCCACTGGTTTTATAAGATAAGATTTAACGATGATATAAGTTACACTTGGTCTTTACATATTAATACAATTTGAATAAATAAGAGTATGGTTCCAATTATAGACCATCGATGAAAAAATTTGTATGACAGTT